GCCCCCCCCCCAACACACAGACACACACACACACACACACACACACACACACACACACACACACACACACACACACACACACACACACACACACACACACACACACACACACACACACACACACACACACACACACACACACACACACACACACACACACACACACACACACACACACACACATACACTTCCCTCCTTGCGCAGGGCGTGGAGATGGGAAGGCCAAGCGAGCTGCTCGCCGAGGCGGAGCGGAAGGGCGCCGGGGCGGGCGCGGAGGCGGTGGGGAGGGTGCGCGTGGGCGGGATGTGCGCCGCCGTGAGCCGCGGGGAGCTCTTGGGGTGGTGAGCTCTGTACTGTTGGCGCCCGCAGCCTAAGCGTCCACCCCATGGTACACCGTACAGTTTTACCATGGTACTATTATTACTACGAACCGGAAGAACACGGCACGGATGCCCCAGACTCCCCAGTCCCCAGAGCGTGCGCCTGGGCGCGGGGCGGTGGGCGGGCGCCCGGGCGCGCGGTGCAGACGTGCAGTGCGGCGTGTGTGTGCGAGTGACTGCTACCAGGGACCATGGGCGTATTATATCCTCTATTAACAACGAAGGCGCTCTAAAAAAAACCAAAGAATCCACCGATACGTCCGCAGGGCGAACCCACCAGTGGAAGGCCTATACCAACCCTTTTGTAAAATTCTTTTTCTTTTGTAAAATTCTTTAATAAATAAATAAATACAACGGACACGCCAAACGAGGGGTGGGAGAAGGACAGGGTCCCCACCTGCACAAGCAGGATCTTGTAGGACGATCAGGGACACAGGGGAACGAACTTTTTAGTCTTGGTCGCTAGACGCGGAGTTTCTTTTCTCGTGTGGTGTACCTGTGTTAGTGCCAGTGCGCGCCAGTCCCGTGCCCAGTGTCGTGGGGCGTAAATTCTTTTCTCGGTGTACCTGTGTTAGTGCCAGTGCGCGCCAGTCCCGTGCCCAGTGTTGTGCGAGGGAGTTTGCTGGCAAGATTCTTTTCTCGCGTGAGAGAGAGTTGTTTTGTTTAAATTCTTTTCTCGCGATGTCTGCCCCGCCGCGCCGCCGCTCGCGCCGCCTCGCCGCCTCCGCCTCCGCCGCTCCCTCGCCAGGAACGCCGCCGCCCGCCCGCCTCCTCGACCTACCCACCGACCTCCTCGTGCGCGTCGTCTCTCGGTGCGACCCCCTCGACATCGCTCGCGTCGCAGCCGTCTCGCTCCTCTTCCACGCCTCGCTTGCGGTGGAGGGCATCTGCTTGCGGGCGCAAGAGCGCGGCTTCGAGCTTCCGGCGCTGCCAGAGGGCGAGGGCTGCGCCGCGCGGTGGCTGTGCTTGTCGGCGCTGCTGTGCGAGTCCAACCCGCCGGCGAGGGCGGCGGCAGGCGACATGCACAGCGTTTTCGTCGTCGGCGAGGGGCGGCTCTCGTCGTGCGGCAATGCGCCGTCCTTCCTTCCAGGGCTGCTCGGCCACGGCGAGGGCGTGACGCGGCTCAACACGCCGATCCGCCTTCCCTCGACGCTGGGCGGCGAGCGTGCCGTGAGCGTGTCGGCTGGAAGCGGCCACAACCTCGCCATCACCGCCAACGGCGCCGCCTGGAGCTGGGGCTATGGAAGCTATGGCCGGCTGGGCCACGGCGACGGGCAGGCCCAGCCGCAGCCAAAGAAGATCGAGGCCTTCGCTGGCGAGCGCGCCCTCGCCGTGTCGGCTGGAGGAGCGCACAGCCTTGCCCTCACCACTGGCTGCGCCGTTTGGAGCTGGGGCAATGGACTCTTTGGCCGGTTGGGCCACGGCGACCGCGAGGACCAGCTGGAGCCGAAGAAGATCGAGGCCTTCGCTGGCCAGCACGTCGTCGCTGTGTCGGCGGGAGGCGACCACAGCCTTGCCCTCACCGCTGACGGCAGTGTCTGGAGCTGGGGCTGGGGAGGCTTTTGCCAGTTGGGCCACGGCGACGAGCAGAACCAGCTGCTGCCCAAGAAGATCGAGGCCTTTGCTGGGCAGCGCGTCCTCGCTGTGTCGGCTGGGCAGTACCACAACATGGCAATCACCGCCGACGGTGCCGTCTGGAGCTGGGGCACTGGAGTCACTGGCCGGTTGGGCCACGGCGACCAGCAGCGCCAGCTGCTGCCAAAGAAGGTCGAGGCCTTTGCTGACCAGCGCGTCGTCGTTGTGTCGGCGGGAGAGCACCACAGCCTCGCCCTCACCACCGACGGCGCTGTCTGGAGCTGGGGCGATGGAGCCCTTGGCCAGTTGGGCCACGGGGACCAGCAGAACCAACTGCTGCCGAAGAAGGTCGAGACGCTGGAAGGGCGGCGCGTCGTCGCCGTCTCGGCGGGAAGCGATCACAGCCTCGCCCTCACCGCCGACGGCGCAACCTTCGCCTGGGGCAAGGGCGAAAGCGGCTGTCTAGGCCACGGAGAGGACCTGTCCAACCAGCTGCTGCCCAAGAAGGTCGAGGCGTGGGCGCCGGGGCTGTAGAGTGAAGGGGGCGGTGGCCGGCAGATCAGGGACCTGCACCTCACGCTCATCCGCAACGAGAACGCGTACTCCTGCTGCGCCGCGATGCTCCTCGCCACGCCTCCGCCGCAGCCGGCCGACCCGCCCCTCGCGCCTCTGTACGTGGCCGGCGACTCGCACGCCCTCTCGCCCTCGTGGCGCGTGGTGCGCTGGCGCGGACAGCCGCGCGTGCTCGTGACCGGCCTCAAGCTGTGGCACCTTCGCGACGGCGCAGACTTCTTCCCAAAGGCAAACTTCGAGGCGGCGGCCGCCTCCCTGCCCGACGGCGCAGACGTCGTCTTCGCGTTTGGAGAGATCGACTGCCGCGAGGGTGCGCCGCCCGCCGCCGTCGAGCGGGCGCGTCGCTCCCCTCTCGACGCCCCCCCCCCCCCCCCGTTGAGGGGGGGGGTTGCCCCCCTTTTGAGGCCCCCCCCCCCCCCCCCCTCTCACCCGCCCGCGCACCGCCCTTCAGGCTTGCTGCTCGCCGTCGAGCGGGCGCGCTACCGAGACCTCGCACAGGCGATCGACACGGTGGTTGACATCTACATCCGCACGCTGCGCCGGCTAGCGGCGCGCCGGCGCTTCAACATCCTCGTCCACCCGGCACCCCGCCCCTCCCCGCGCCCGCGCAGGGCGAGGCGCCCTCACTGAGGCGAGAGGTGCCGCCCCCCTGCAGGTCCCTCCGGTCCTGCCAGAGACTCGCGCCGTCGTCAAGCAGTTCAACGCAGCCCTGCGGCGCGCCGTCGAGCGCGCCTCGCCCGTGCTCGCTTGGCTCGACTTTTTCGAGCAGCTCCTCACACCCGCCGGCGACGCGCTCGCGGACGGCCTCGCCCTCGACGGCACCCACCTCAACCCGCAGTACGTCCGCCTGACGGGTGTTTGCGGTTTAGCGGCCGAGCCGCTCACGCTTGCGACAAAATGCAGCAGAAGGCCGGGCCATCTGCCGCTGGCGGAGCGCCGCGAAAGCTCACGATCAAACCGCTTCGCACGGCGCCAAAGTTGCCCGCCAACTTCGAGCAGGCCACCTGGGCCAAGCTGCTGGACGCGGTGCGAGCTGTCCACGGCAAGCGTGCGGTGAACCACAGCCTGGAGGAGCTGTACCGAGGTGTGGAGGACATGTGTGTGCAGCACATGGCGGCGCGGACGTACGATAAGCTGCAGGCAGAGTGCGAGGCCCACGTGGAGGCCTCGATCGAGGCCCTACAGACCCCCGACACGAGCGCCTTCCTCTCGCTCGTGCACGGCTGCTGGTCGGCGCACTGCGAGGAGATGCTCACCCTGCACTCGATCTTCCTGTACCTCGACCGCACCTACGTCATGCAGAGCGCCGCGCGGCGCTCCCTCTGGGAGATGGGGCTGCACAGCTTCCGCGCGCAGCTGAGCGCGCGGCCCGAGGTGCTCGCCAAGTTGCGCGATGGCGTGCTCGCGAGCATCGAGCGGGAGCGGGGGGGCGACCAGGTGGAGCGGTCGCTGCTGGCGGAGCTGCTGCGCATGCTCTACGACCTCGGGCTCTACCAGCGCCACTTCGAAGAGCAGTTCCCGTCGTCCGCATACTACCTCGCACAGAGGCGCTGCAGAGATGAATGCGCGCGCCCCGCCCCGGCCGCCGGCCCGCCCCTCTCCGCGGTGAGCCGTAGACGGTAGAGCCGTACGGTGCAAGAGTCAAGACATAACGAGCCGTTCCACATACGTTTCAAATACTTCAGTACACACACGCAGCTCTGCACCTCCCTGTCGACTGACGACTGTCCAGTGTCCTCTCGCGCTGACCCATATCATATGTGGCGCCGGTGCTCCAGAACTAAGCAGAGCCGCCGCGCCCCGCGCCCCGCCCGCCCCGCCCGCCACGTCCACGCCCCCCTCTCCCGCCTCGCCTACCGACCGCTGCCGTGACGCCCACGGGCTGAGCCTGGGGCGCGGGGCGCGAGGGCGGCTGGTAGACAAACGTCGTCTGCGCCGCCACCTGTGTCCCAATTGCGACGATGGGCAGCGCCGGCTGGCGGCAAGTCGGGCAGTTGGTGTCGCGCTCCAGCACGCGCGTCACACACGCCTCGCAGTACAGCGCGTGGCCGCACGCGAAGCGAACCGAGCGCGGCGCGTTCCAGCAGAGGTCACACTGGCGCTCCTCGGCTGCCGCCGTCTCCTCCACCTCCCCCGCCGCTTCGACTAGCGCCTCCAGCCGCGGCAGCGCCTCCGCGAGCGGCATCCGCTTCCGCTTCCGCTCGTACGCCAGCCCGACCACGAGCCGCGTCAGCTCCTCGGCCTGCGCCGCCGACCAGCCCGCGTCGGCCGCCGCGATCGATCCCTCCGCCGTGTCCGGCTCCTCCAGCGCATAGTCGCACGCGTTGAGCAAGCCGACGGCGCCGCGGCCGGTCAGGCTGACGAGCAGCGTGATGCCGAGCGCATAGCCGTCGGTCAGTTGCGAAGCTTGGTTGTCCTGCGTGATGATCGGGTCCATGTAGCCAGGCTTGCCAAAGATACGCTGCGTCGACAGGTGCGAGACCTGCTGGCTGCCGCCGGCCGTCGCCTCTGCCGCACGCGCGAGGCCCACGTCGGCGAGGTAGCCGTTGCCGCGCTCGTCGAGCAGGATGTTGCCCGCCGAGACGTCGCGGTGCAGGATCATGGGCGAGAGCGTGTGCAGGTAGTGCAGAGCGCTCGCCGCGTCGCGCAGCACGCGGAGCCGTGCGGCGGAGGAGAGCGGAGGAGGCGCCGTCTCGAAGCCGAGCATGCGGAGCCGCTGCAGCGCGGCTGGCGAGCGGTAGAGGCGATCCTCGAGGCTGCCGCCGCGGCAGAGGGGGTAGACGAGGCACGCTCTCGACGGCGCCAAACAGACGCCGAGCAGAGGAAGCAGGGACGGGTGGCACGCCGCGCTGAGCGTGCGCACCTCGCTCTGCAGCTCGGCGAGGCCTTGGGCGCCGACACCGACCAGCGCCGTTTTGACAGCGAACCCGCAAGCGACGCGCGGAAGCGACGGCAGCGCGTCGGCGCGGTAGACGCGCCCGAAGCCTCCCTCGCCCACCTTGCGCGCCTCGGCAAAGCCGTCGGTCGCCGCGACTAGCTCGTCGAGAGGGACGGCGGCGGGCGGTGTGGCGCCCGTGTCGACGGCTGCCCATCTTCCGCCAGACTTCCCTTGCTTTGCCGCTTCCTCGCCTCTCTTCTCTCCTTGTCTGATCCCGCCTCTTCCCAATTTCTATGCCTCGCTCTTTGTCCGTCCGCTCTTTCTTCCTACTCCCATACCTTCTCTCTGTCTTATAGCACCACCTCCTATCTTTTTCCGGAGCGTGTCCCTCCATACCTTCTTGTATT